CCCTACATCACCTTCCCTCTCCAAAAGTATGCAGGAGCAACTAAGAATCATACCTCGTTCTTCCTGATCTTTGAAATGCCACCAGTAGCCCTTGGATGGGTGATAGCGACAGTAGGACATCGCTTCTTCAAAAGCTGACTGAATTCCATGCACTGCAGTGAGCTTTCAGAACAAGAACATAAGGCCGTGTTCAGAATTTAAGGAGAAAATACAGCATAAATTTTTGAAAGCAAGGATTTTAAAATTAGTATTCTATATTAATTTTTATTCCAGGAAGGGAACTTGGGACATCTAGTTCTAGATCAAGAATGTAGCTTCTTTAACAAGCTCTTAAAAGCCCTTTTCTGAAGTGTTTTTCTAAACTGACAGAGGAAAAACTTGCAAATGCAGTAGTTTACTAGAACAGAAGAAATCAAAACAAACTCAAGTAAAAAGAAATACCACATCACCTTAACATTAACATTCCAAAGCAAGCATCGCTGGATATGTATTCAATTATTATTTCATATGTATTTGTCATGCAATTTTTCTTTTTATTATTCAAACCTCATGCTGTTCCGCCAATTGCGTAGCTTCAGTTATCCTGATCCTTCAGCCTTAACCAATGTATCCTACTTCTTGGACCACACTGCACTCGCCCCAGATCTTTCATTTCCATGTGGGAGGCACACCAAGTTAATCAGCAGGGTTTAAGTTACTGTAAATTACACAAGATCTTTCCTCAAAACAGTGAGGGAGGGATTTAAACAGCCTGGGGAGCAACTCAAAAGTAAAAGCAGATACAAACTGGTATACATCAAATGCACAGAACACTTACAACTCTGGAGTTAATGACAGACCCCAAGTCAGGTGCCTGATAAATCACTCCAGCAATAATATAGTAGTCGGCCAATGGAATAACTGTGGGGAGAAAGAAAAAAAAAAGGCAGGATCAATTCAAAGCTCTGCCTGAAAACTGTATATTTGTTGCTGAATTTCAGTAGTAACAGTAAGAATTTCAATATTCATCTCACCACCAAATTTTCTCTTTTTAACCTTTTCCTTCAAGGTGCTTTATTTGCACCTTATCCACAGACTGGTAAGGGGAAAAAAAACCCAAGGTCTGCTTTACAGAATGAAAAGCACGATCCTGTCCTACTGCAAACAAATAACTGACCTTACAAGAGTTGGTGTTTTCAGAGCTATGCAAGAAGAGGCAAGTAAACTGCACTGAAAGTAGTTCCGCTTGCCTTTGCTACCAGTAGAAACCCACAATAACGTAAGATCTCATTCTTCAGCTTTCTCCAATTCATACAGTCCTCTTAGCTAGATTTCCCAGACTCCATGGCAGCTAAGCTCACACAGAGCTTGCCTTTCTAAATCAGTAACATTCTGCCAAAAAAAAAAGAAATACTACCTTCCAAAGTAATTTGCTAAATCAGATTGGAATCTCTACTGACTGATACAAAATTCTTGTTCGTTTTTGCTGCAGTGCAGGGGAACATCACAATTGCCTCCATAATACTCGGCCAAACATTCTTCAACTGAGAAACTACAGCAATGCCATCAGCTTCACATTCCTAAGGATCTTCCCCGCACACACATATCGTGGAAGCCCTAACTCTATTCTTGATCTAAAAAGTTTCCTGTTTTGACACTAAGGGCTGCATGGTATTTCCTACTCACTTTTTGAAAGCTAGACTCAAAACCTTTAATAAAAAAGCCGACTCAAAATCTGTTAAAGAAGGAATCGCACATGTTCTTTTTCAGCATGGCACTGCAATATAAAGAGGCCACTACCTGATGCAAGCAAATAGGAAGCATTGCTAGACAAGGCAAAGTCCTGTACAAGACCAAAATGCGTATGCAGAGCCTAACTCAAAAAAAAAAAGGTTAAGAAATAACTAGCATTAACCCTCCCTTTCTTTTCTACAAAGGTTACGCTGAAATAACCTAAATTACTTCACATATACATGTAGTAAACACACACAGTCCAATAACTATTGAAATGTGACCACTTTTTTAATTAATCACACAGGCACAAAGTTAAGGTTAAAAAGGAATAATGAAGCCTGTTGCATGCAAATGGAAAAAAAAGCTAAGGTATTTCATTTAGAACTTGAAAAGGTCATCAGTGACACTGTAAGGAGTGGTGCTGTTGTCACAAGATTCCCTTGTGATTCCAAAATACTCAGTTCTTCGAGGAATAACCAAGACAACAAGCATTTGCGGTATCTCATGGTCATTTTTCACATAGGCTGCCATCTTCTACTGACAAGATCCTACTCAGCAGTATAACCAATCCACAGCTGAAAGTGGAAATAGTATAGAATAAGAGAGTGACATAACACAAACAGAAGCTGAATTATCCCCTCTCCCTAACTAACGAAAATCATGGTTCTCCAAAATAAATAAATAAATAAATCGCATACTAGCCACTGCAGATGATCATCTGAAATTAAGCTAAGCTCATCAGCCCTAAGCAAGGTTACTGTTAGCCTTATATTCAAGTAATTAAAATGAAAACTCTCGCATAGCCTAACAGATACAACGTGGCATGAATGCTATTACCAATTTCCCATGGCAAAATATACCACAGGGCAGCACTTTCTCATTGCACTCTCCGCATTTCACCACAAGATGGCAATCCCTGCTATTAGCACACCAGAGATCACTCTGCTACACAAAGTATCTCCACCCCACCACAAAGCCTCATACCTTGATTTAGATTTTAGATAATGTCAGGAAAGGGGAACCAGAAGTGCTTAAACACAAATTAGGAACAGATAAAGGCAACCAACTGATTGGCCTTCTCAACAGTGACAAGAACTGAGCGACTCTACCTTGTGTCGGAGATTGCCTTTGCTGCTTTCGGATAATGAAGAGAATGGGCTCTTGGGCATGAAGAAGGATGTACTCCACTCCAACCATCTGGCTAAAAAAGAAGCAACCATAGTAAGCACCTTCCTCAAAGTAAAATCTGGAGGATGTAAAGAGCCACCGAAGGGCCTGGCAGTAAAGGGATGAAGTTCTGATGCTTTGGAAGCTCTTCTATACAGTGTGCAGTAAATAAAGGCACAGGACTTCCTGAGCTAGCTATCAAACCCTAGCTGCCTATACAAAGGGAGTTACAACAACCTGACACTACATCCAAGTAGAACATGTTAGCAAACAAATAAATAGCAAGACCAATAACAATCTATCATCATAGAGATGTCATTTAAACACAGAAACAAAGGACCAGTGTATAACGTGACCATCTACATGCCTGGTGTGAAAGCCTCTCTGCAACCACATCTGAGCACAAGTTTTCTTTACCAACGAACTTCTAGCTCAGCGTGCACACTCCTTATCATACTGTGGTGTCTTTAAATAGTTCTCAAACATCCCACTTGTGCTCAGTGCAGCAGATGGGGAACTGCAAAGAAAGTTAACTTGCGCATGCTGCAATCTCATTACACAACCATCTGTGATCAGTTTATTTACAACACTCACTACTTTTATTAACCATATTAAAAAGCCAACTCTCTGGAGGAATTATGTACTAATTATGGCACAGCCAGTGGGATAAGGAAACATAAACTATGAACTCAAAGTATCCCCGAATATAAACCCTATTCACCACAGGAAAACATTTAACTACATTACCATTACTCAGGTTCTGTTGAGCTGGAAGGATAAGAGAAGACAGCTCCTCTAATTCAGAGAAACATCTAAAAGGCAATTTACTGGAATGTCAGAACATACATAGAAGCCTTCATGCTTAACACCTCCTTGAAATGACAGAAGTAGTAAAAGGCATCCAAATACTAAAAAAGCTGGGCCCTCTGGCAAGTGGTGGGACTAATAAGCACAGAACAGGAGGTTTCCAGCATGCTTCCATTCAACCGTCAAAGCCTCTGGGTGGAAGGACAAAGGACACTGCACAAGAAGCAGTTTCAAATTACAACTTACTTTAAATGGTCCAAGGTCATCCGCTGCATTTTGACGACTTCGTTGTTACATGTTCGGTCATAGAACGGGTTACTTCGCTCTGAGAAATAGTCCAGCACACTCCCATTGTTTAGTATTGGAATCCAGGAACTGTCAACCCAGGAAATTCCCAAGAGATTATCTGGGAAAAGAAATCTACACTGAGTACCAAAGCAGCCAGAAATACTACAAATACCTCCAAGAGTAAATTGCCACCAGTTAATGATTATAGCAGGGGAAGGAGGTAGAACACAGCCTCACATAAGCCAGCTCTAATTTAAAATGGGTTTCACAGAGTCCAAAGAACAATCGATATGATTTAACCTCCTGCAGTTCTGTTTTAGGTACACAATAGAAATATAGTCTTTTTTATTATTACACTTTTCTTTCCCTGACCACTAGCTGCTGCTATACCTTTGTCTCGAGAACATGAGCAGGGTCTGTGTGCTGTGCTGGTAGGAGTTAAATTCACTCTGACACCATATACAACATTATCAGGCTACACCTAGTCAGTAGCATTACATACAGCTTGTTTTATGAACCACAGCATTAGCTGAGTAGAAAGACAATCCAAAGCATGGTTCCTTTTGAAAGCTACATCAACGTAAGTTGATTTTACTAAACTAAGTTACAGTCAGCTGCAGGTGAGAGGGACTGGTGGTGGGGAAGTGATACACCCCACAGCAAATCTGAGCCTGGTCATGTTTAAAACAGTTAATTTCTTAAAAAAATAGTTTCCAAGCTGTAAACTATCATGCTAAAAAATAGGTAAAACACTACAGAGATCTACTAATTAAATCAAGAGTTTTCTTTTGCTAAAGCCAATGAGTAAACTACTGAGTGAAACAAAATAGTGGCACTGGTAACACATCTAAGATGTTCTGTTATTAAAACACATATCACTATGATATCCGTCCTGGTTTGGGCTAAATCAGAACTGATTCTGTTTTAGTGCTTTAACTTTTCAGTTAAGTCTCCTCTAACTAACGGCACTTTCTGAAAGAACAGCATAAGTTTTTCCAGACAGTGACTGCTCCTAGCAGTGATAAGGCCTGATGTTTATAGTTCGTACCAAGGAATGGGATGCAGAGAGGCCCTTGCTTATACTTGTTCTTGTAGCGACCAAGGTCACTGCTCAACCTTGTACTCTGTGTTGGGGTGCCAGGAGTGAAAAGGGTCGCAAGCACGAAAAAGGTCACACCTGCAGGGAGGAGCGAAACGGACAGGTGACCCAAACCTGACCAACAGAGTATTCCATCCCCTGTACGTCATATTCAGTATAAAGCTGAGGGATCACAAGGGTCGGTCTCTCTTCTTCGACGGCCGACATCTGAGGA